TGTTATCTATATGTTTAATTTGTTATTGTTATTATCGTTATGATTATTGTTATTGTGATTATTATTTTATTGTTTTTGTTTGTTTATTGTTTGTTTTTTTATTGTTGTATCATCATCATTATCATCATCCTAATCCTCATCATCCTAGTAGTGTTTATAGTCAGCCTCATGAAATTAGTTTTATTTATTTATTATTAGAAGAGTGGAGAGGGGGGAGGGGCAAAAACGTAGCCTTATCGCGGGGTAGATAAAAGCGGAGAGTTGGTATTAATAGAAAAAAAGGAGATAAGAGAGAGAGAGAAAGAGAGAAAAACACGAGATGCTGTTTATTGGGGGCGGTATCAGCTGTGTGGTATCGCCAGTGGTGGTCGCCCTCGAGAGATAGGGAGGGAAACGAGCGTGTAAAAAAAGAAAGAAAAAAAGGAAAAGCAAGAGAGAGAAGAATAAAAAAAAGATAAAAAGGGAAAAAGCAAAGGAAAGAAGAAGAAATTGAGAGAAGGTTTTTGAGATATCTTTATTTTGTTTTTTATTCTAGTTTTACTATTTTAAAAAAGGGAGAAGCAACGAAAAGAAGAATTAATTGAAAGAGAGGTTTTTGAGATATCTTCTATTTTTATATTTCTAGTTTTACTATCTTTAAAAAGGGAAGAACGAATAGAAAAGAAAAGAAGAAGAAATTGAAAGAGGCTTTTGAGATATCTCTAATTTTATTCTAGTTTTACCATCTTAAAAAAAAGAAAGAAAAAAAAAGCAAGTAAAAAAAAAAAAAAATTGAAAGAGGTTTTTGAGATATCTTTTTTTTAGTTTATCTTTTTTTTTTTTTTAAGTTTATTTTCCTGGTTTGATAAGAGAGAGAGATGAACAACAAGGAGAGTCGGGTCTTTTGTGGATATATTGGGGGTGGGGGAGGGGGAGGGGGAGGGGGGGAGGGGGGGGGGTGTGTCTTGTCACGGCCTTTTGGGCAGCATGCATGACGGGAGGTGTCACAGAGGGCGGCCCTGTCATGTCATATTGGCCTTCAGACCGAATCGGTCCCCCGCCCCCCCCCTTCCAGTTCTCCTCTTCCGCTCTCCCTCCCTCCCTCCTTCCCTCCCTCCCCTCCTTCCATTCTCTCGTCATCTCTTCTCCCATCCTTCGTCTTCTCCTTTTCTCCTTTCCCTTCCTTTTTTCCTTCCTCCTCTCCCTCCTCTCTTTCTTCCTTCCTTCTTCCTTTTACATCACCTTACCCCTCTCTACCTCCCCCCACCCTCACCCCCATCCTCCACCCTTGTCCCCCGCCTCCACCACCCCCACCCCAACCATTCCCCCACCCCATCCCTCCCCTCCCCCTCCCCCCCCCCCCCCCCCCCACGCGAGAAAGTCCTCCGCCAGCGACCCAGGAACGAGCGAGCGAGGGAGGGAGGGAGGGAGCGAGGGAGGGAGGGAGGGAGGGAGGGGAGGGAGGGGAGCCAGCCACCTCCTCCTCCTCCCCGTGTCCGTTTCGGGGGCTCATCTCGGGAGAGTGGGGGGGGGCTCGACTTTCGCCGGGTCAAGATGGGAGGAGGGAGGGAGGGAAGGGAGGAGGAGGGAGAGGGAGAGGAGAGGGGGAGAGGGAGGAGGAAGGAGGAGGAGGAGGAGGAGGAGAGGAGGAGAGGGGAGGGAGGAGAGGGAGGGAGGAGGGGAGGGAGGAGGAGGAGAGGGAGGAATATAGGAAAGATTGATACGTAAGAGAAAGAAGAGAGACAGGACAGACAGACAGAAACTAGAAAATAGGAGAATCAGGGAAGAAGATAAAAAAAAACGATAGAAAGAGACCAAGACAAACAGACAGACAGACATGACAAACATGAAACAAACAAAAAAAAAAAATCAAAAAACAAACAAAAAACAAAAAAACAAAAATGCCCAAGAGACGTGTCTGGCGCTTCGGGACGCGCGGGCGGTAGAGAGTGAGGTATGGGGGGGGGGTGGTATTGGCACTGTGGCCAGGGGTAACGCTTTTCTTTTTCTTTTCATTTTTTTTTTTCCAGCTCGCGTAAGGGGTAGGAAGGGGGGGGGGGGAGGGTCAGGGATCACATTTGAGAAGAGTTGGCTAGAAAGATTCGTTTATTTTCAGTCGTATTTGTTATTTCTAGTGAACTAATCCTTTAGTTGTTGTTGTGTTATTAATGTTTATTACTATTATTAATTATGATACTACTATTATTATTATTATTATTTATTATTACTACTATTTTATTTACTACTATATTATTATTAACTACTAATGTACTTATATTTACTACTAATGTATTGTTGTTTATTGTTATTATTATTATTGTTATTATTATTATTATTATTGTGTATTATTATTATCATATTATTATTATTATCATATTATTATTATTATTCATTATTATTATTATTCATTATTAGTTCATTATCATTATTATCACTTATTCCTTTCGTTCGTTTTCTCTTCTTCCATCCCGTCCCGCTCGTTCCCCTTTTTAAGGCGTTTGGGTGAGAAAGTGCAGGCATGGGGGGGAGGGGGAGGGGTAGGGGAGGGGAGGGGGGTAGGTTCTCAATGGCATATCTGTTCTGTCTGGAAGACGCTGAACTACATTTTCTTTTTCTCTTTAATTTTTTGTTTTGTTTGTTTCTTTTCTTTTTCTTCTTACCTTCTTTGTGTTTTTTCTTTTTTTCATTTTCCTTTATTTCTCTTTTATTGCTGGTTTACCTACTTCTTTTCGTCTCTTTTCTCTTCTTCTCTTCTCTTCCTTCTCCATGTGCCCGTCTCTCTCTCTCTCTCTCTCTCTCTCTCTCTCTCTCTCTCTCTCTCTCTCTCTCTCTCTCTCTCTCTCTCTCTCTCTCTCTCTCTCACACACACACACACACACACCACACACACACACACACACACACACACACACACACACACACACACACACACACACGTACACACACGTACACCAAAACAAGAGCGCTGGACGTCCTATCCGCAGCCAGAATAGAACCATCAATTCGAATAAAAACAGAACGATAACTTTCTCTCCTCCGACCTGGTCTCTCCCCCCCCCCCCCCTCCCCCTCTCCCCCCCCCGCTGCTGGTGCCGCTACTCTCTCGGTCCGCCGTTCGCAGGGGGGGGGTGGGGTGGGGGGTGGGGCGAGGGCGAGGGGAGGTCGCAAATGTATTTTGTTGATTTATCTGTTCGGTGAAGGGAAACATTATGAAAATTGTGAGAATGGGTGAAGAGAGAGAGAGAGAGAGAGGAGAGAGAGGAGAGAGAGAGAGAGAGAGGAAGGAGAGGAAGAGGAGAGAGCGGAGGAGAGCGTGCGTGCATGAGAGAGGGAGACCAAACACATTGGCGATTGTGTTTTCGTCTTCCGTGTCCCTTGTTTCGGCTTATTACTTAATTTTGTGGCCGTTATTTTATTAATTCGTCCCGCCAGTGTCCCTGTGGCGCTGATCCTCCCTCTCCCCCTTTCACCCCCTCCCCCCCCCTTCCCCACCTTACAGTCATTGTCAGCCTGTTAGTGACGCTGGCACTATCACGTGGCATTGTCACCCGTGGCACTCATCCCGGTGCCGTCCTCCTCCTGCGTGACGGCGGATTGGTATTCCTGACTGTGACTGACAGGTGACTGATTGACACATACATGACACATACAACACACACACACACACACACACACACACACACACACACACACACACACACACACACACACACACACACACACACACACACACACACACAAGACAGAGAGAGAGAGAGAGAGAGAGAGAGAGAGGAGAGAGAGAGAGAGAGAGAGAGAGAGAGAGAGAGAGAGAGAGAGAGAGAGAGGAGAAGAGGCAGAGGCAGAGGCAGGCCTGAAGGGCTATTTCCCCCTGCATTTCTTTGCGGATGGCGACCTTGCGTGCGTGGACGAGGCTGTCGCAAGACGGCCAATGGCGACAAGAGGCCCGATAAGCGGCGGCGCTCGAGATAGCGTGTGTGACTGTCTTTGTGCGCGGGGAGGTTGGCACTGAGGCCGCCTGTTTGTTTATCGCCTTCCCTCGCCGGCTGGGCCTCGAGGGCGCTCGCCGCCGCCGAGGGGAAGCGGTAAGCAAGGTAGCGGGGCGCGTCTTCACGTGGCTCCGGCGTGCGCGCGTCTTATACCCTTCGGGGCTTCAGTTCATTTGGTCGCAGGAACTTTATTTTGTTTAGGATTAAGGTTTAGTGTTGATCTGTTTAAGCAGGAAAACTAACGACCCTCTCTGTCCCGCAGACTGTGCTGCGCGCGCGCTGGGACGGCCGCGACGTGGACCACAAGGCCGTCGGGGGCCACCTGCCCCTGAGCAAGCGCAACTCGACGCCCGTGGGGGCCGCCATCCCCACCTCCAGCGCCCACGCCCAGCTGCTGCAGCAGGCCCACGCCGCCAAGGCCTCGCTCGCGCCCATGGAGCCACAGAACCTGCACCGGCGGCTGGACCGCTCGCACTCGGAGCCCGTCAAGAGCGGCGACGCGCGCCAGCCCAACTCGTCGCGCTACAAGACGGAGCTGTGCCGCCCCTTCGAGGAGAACGGCCACTGCAAGTACGGCGAGAAGTGCCAGTTCGCGCACGGCCAGCTGGAGCTGCGCACGCTCACGCGGCACCCCAAGTACAAGACGGAGCTGTGCCGCACCTTCCACACCATCGGCTTCTGCCCCTACGGCCCGCGCTGCCACTTCATCCACAACGCCGAGGAGCGCCGCGGCTCCAACGCCGGCGCCCCCGGCTCCGCCCCACACGCCCCGCTCTCGCCCAAGGGCTCCCTGGGCGGCTCCGCCTACCCCGCCCACGCGCCGCTCTCCCGCCAGCAGGTCTTCCACATGAGCTCGGCCATGGGCGGCCCGCTCGGCTCCACAGCGGAGTCGCCGTCGCCGCCCGCGTCCTTCCACGGCTCGCCCACGTCCTCCGCGGGCTCCTTCTTCGACGACTCCTTCACGCTGTTCGCCGGCGGCAGCTACGGGCTGGCGGGCGCCAAGAGCTTCCTGGACGGCCTCACGGTGGGCCTGGGCTCCACCGGCATGGCCGCGGGGCCCGGCTCGCCCGGCGGCTCCTCCTGCAGCGGCGGCAACGGCCGCCCCCTCAGCGAGTTCGACATGGTGCGGGAGGGCGCGCTGCTGTCGCTGGCGGGGCTGGACACGCCGCCCGTGAGCCCCGTGGAGTCCCTGGCGGGCGACCTGGACTCGCTGTCGCTGTCGTCGTCGTCGCACTCCACGTCGCCCACGCCCGTCGCCTCCGCCCTCGACATCTCGCGCTCGCTGCGCCTCCCCATCTTCGAGCAGCTCTGCGTGCACGACTAGGACGTCCGCGCCCACGCTCTCCCCGCCCACGGGGACAAGCGGCCGCCCCTCGACGCGCCGCAACAGCTCAAGTTCGGTGTGATAGTCACGGGCGTCGAGGCACAAGGACGACGGGACGGCTGAGCTGTGGACGGCGCCCGCACGCCCTCGCGCGTCCCGGAAGCGGGCGGGCGGGCGGTCGGAGGGCCCGAAGGGCGGGGCGCGGGCGCGCGTCGACGGAAGGGCGCCGCGCCCGGGCCGGCGTCAGCGGCGCCCGGGACTAGTCTGCCTCAACGAGCGTCGACGCCCACGCGCGCCCGTCCCGCGCCTCCGCCTCCCCGCTGCCTCCCCCCCGCCCACGCTGCGCCTGCCAGGACCAAGCCCGAGGGCGGGCGTGGCGACGAGGCCGCTCATCACCCTTGGCGGAGGGAAGCGCCCCCCCCCCCCCCGGCCTCCCTCGCCCGCGCCGCCTCTCCCTCTCTCGCGGCTCCGTGCCTCCCCTCCTCCGCCTCTCCCCCCTCCTCTCGTCGCCTCTCTCCCGCCCCCGCCCGCACGCCCCCTCGAGCCGCACGCCCTCTCCCGCCCACCCATCTATTGCTTGTGATACTTGGGGCGGCACGACAAAGTGAAGAGGATAACACAGCCGCCCGCAACCTAGTTTATGTAACTGGGCGGTCTTGTGGGCGTGTGTCGTCGACGGAGATCGGATGGGCGTAAGGGGGAACACGAAGTGAAAATAAAAGGAAGGTGAAAACGGAGAGAGAGAGAGAAAGAGAAGAGAAAGAAAGAAAAAGAAAAGAGAGGATGGGAAGATTCGTAGGAAGGAGAGAGCACAGAGAAGAGAAGAGAAGAGAGGTGGAAAAGAGAGAGAGAGAGAGAGAGAGAAAGGGGAATAAAAGTGGAAGGGAAGAAAAGCGCGAGTGCAAGAGAGAGAGAGGGGACAAAAAAGCCTCTTTTTATAAGTGTTAAAACTTCCCAATCAGCTGCTGTACAGAACAAAGTTTCATTTTGACACCCCTCTGTTTTTTTGTGTAATTACGAAAGAAACTAGCTTGTATTTATGTAATTTATTTATTTGCGTGAAGTAGGAAAAAGAAGTAATTTATCTGTGTACTATATCTAGTTGCCATAACAGGATCGTGTTGTTTAACTCTTAACTGCCTTCTGTGGACGCTTAACCCCCCCCCCAATCCTCCCTCACCATCCCTTCCCCCCACCCCCCCCATTCAGTGCATATCCTCCCCTCACTCCCCTCCCCTTCCCCCCCTAATCCCCTTTTATAAAAGTCCAAGGCAGAAGCTTCTACCCCCCTCCCCCACCCCTCCCCCCTACCCCCTATGTCCTTTTCCTGCCCCCTTCTCCCTCCCCTTAATCACCCCCTCCCCCCCTCCCCCCCCCCAACCCCCGGACCTTGTAGAGCACACTCGCAATCTATTATAAATATATAAGTATATATATATCTATCTTTATATCTATCTCTTTTTATATGTATATCTTTTCAGTTTTTATATAAAGCGTTGTTATTAACTTATGTTTGCTGTATTTTTTTTTAATGTCCCTTTGTACCCTATCTCTCCTTCCCCCCCCCCCTCCCTCCTCCTCCACCCTCCCCCTACACATACATTCCCCACCTCCCCAACCTCCCCCCTCCTCCACCCCACTCACCTGTGGGGACTTGGGGGGGGGGGTATTTTTTATTTTGTCTTATGCTCAGTGACAATCACATTTATTTTTTTGTCCACTTGAAACCATTTTTTTGTGAATCGTAAAAAAAATCCCTACCTATTTACCCTACTCCCCCCCCCCCTACCCCTTTACCCTTTCCCTTTACCCTTATTTGCCTTCTTGTATGAGAAGGCTTTTATTTTGTAATTTATATTTTGATTTATTTTTTTTCCTTTTTTTTTGCTTCTTTTTCTTTCTTTTTTTGTTTTCTGACGCCCCCCCCCCCCTCCCCCTCTCAACCCAAATGACCTACTTAATTTATTTGATTTTTTTCTTTTTTTCACATTCTCTCTCATCTCTCTCTTCTCTCTCTCTCTCTCTCTCTCTCTCTCTCTCTCTCTCTCTCTCTCTCTCCTCTCTCTCTCTCTCTCTCTCTCTCTCTCTCTCTCTCTCTCTCATATTATTATTATTATTATTATTTTGTCATAATTGACATGTAAATACAAACTTAAAAGAAATTTCACTTTTAAAAAGAAAGATGCCTTGGTTCAATTCTTATTTTCTTTAACTTTATTCTAATTATTATCCCAATTTATAATTATTATTTTAGAAGTGTTTTGACCTTTTCCTTTTGAAGAAGAAGAAAAAAAAGAATATTTTTCTCGAACACAAATGCTTTTTTACGCCCCCCTTCTCCCCCCCCTCCCCTTCCTACCCCCTCCCCCCCCCTCTTGAAAGACCGTGTCCCCAGGCAGTTTATTTGTTTCACTCGATTGTAATTATTGTTCTTAATTAATTTTATTGCGATAATTATTATTATATGTATAGTATATATTATACTTGTCTGCCAAGTGTTGGTCCGAATTTCTTTCCTTTTTATTTTTAAAATATGAAAGCGTTCTCCATTCTTTCTCTATAATTTTTTGCGTTTTATGGATAGATATAGCCTTATTATGTTAATATAAAAAAAAAAATGGCCCAGGAGATGACCCATATCTGACCTCCCCCTCCCGATCCCCCCCCTCCCTGTTCCTCTCCCTTCCTTCTCCCTCTCCTTCTTCTCCATCCCCCCCACCCCCCCCCTTCCCCCCAGTCCCGGGTTGTGGCATTGATTTCATGAGGTTTTGAAAGGCTCATGTATGGACAATATATATATATTATTTTCCTCCTCCCTCCCTCCCTCTTTTGATATGTGTGTGGGGGGCGGTACAGAAAACCTTTTTTTTTCTTCTTTCTCTTCTGTCTTTCAAGTTTCTTTTTTTTTTATTTATTCTTTCTCCTACTTTCTTTCTCTTCGTCTTTTTTTTCTATTTCCTTTTCTTCTCTATCCCTTCTCCTCCTCCCTCCCTCCCTCTATCCCCCTCTATCCCTCCTCCCTCTTTTCCAATCGGTTGAACGAAGTTAATTCTTGATATTTTTTTTTCTAATTCGTAAGGTTAACAAGATTTCTTTTATAGAGAAGCTTAGCCGTTAAGATTCTTGTAGTAAGAGAAACAAACAAACAAACAAACAAAAAGAGGTCGAAAAAAGGTCACATATTATATTTTAGATGAAAGTAAAAAAAACAAGAAAAAAAGAAAGATGTAACTTCCTTATGTTCACCGATATTTTTTCGTGTATATTAGTGTTCATTATATTATTATATTTTTGTATAGTTATTTAAAGAAAAAAAACTAAAATAAAAGATAGATTAATATTCCGCGCCTGTTTGTGCCGCACCCAACTTCTCTTTCCGTATATATTGCTTTTATTTCAATTCCTCTGTCTTATAAATCTCATTCTATCTATGTATTTTCTTCTCTAATGTCTCTCAATCTATTAGTTATTTCTTTTCTTTTAATTTCTCTCTCAATCTATTAGTTTTTTTCTCTTAATTTTCTCTCAATCTATTAGTTTTTTTCTGTTTTTCTCTTAATTCCTCTCTCAATTTATTAGTTTCCTTTTGTCTCTTATCTATCTATCTCCCTATCTATCTATCTATCTATCTATCTCTCCCCCCTTTTGTTTTGCTGAAAAGACAGAGACACTGATGCCGGTAGAGGAAAAAAATGAATTAAAAAGAATCTTTTGTTGATTTTTTTTCGTATTATTTAAAGTTTTGGAGAGTAGAAAAGGGAGGGGAGAATATACCCCTCCTTTTTTCCTTTTTTTGAGCTTCTTTTAATTATTATTTAATATTAATAACATTATTTAAATGAAAAGACTTCCGTTTTTGGGGGATTTTTGTCTCTCTTTTTTTTGGGTAGAAATATTTAAAAAGAAGGATTTTGGTGTCGAATTTAATTTAAATATAAAAAAAAAAAATGTCTTTCACGAGGGTATGGGTGTCGGTTAGTGTACCCCCCTCCCCTCCCTCCCCTTCCTCTTCCCCCTTTTGTTCTACTCCCCTACCCCCTTACCCTTACCCCCTTTGTTCTACTCCCTATCCCCCCTACCCCCCTTACCCCCACACATCACTTCCATGGTGGGACGAACGTGGCATTCGTGTGTGTATTATGTACAGTAATATATTTTAGTGAGTTCGTGGCGAGGAATGGGGAGGGGGAGGCAATAGGTGGGGGGTGTAGAGTGAAGTAGAGGGGAGGGGAGGGGGATTTATTTTCCCCCTCTCTCCCTCCCCTCACTCACTCTCCCTCTCTCCCTCTTTGTCTCTCTTTCTCCCTCCCTCCCTCCCCCACCGAGAACTCTTTAATTATGTTATTTATATATCCCCCCTCCCCCTTTACTTCGATTTTGTCTCTTAATTCCTTATTTTATTTCCTGTTATTATATTTTTCCCCCCACCCGTTCCCCATTAACCCAGACATGTATAGAGAGGAATCAGTATAAACCATAAGACAGATTATTAATATTATTATTTTTTTGCGAGTTATTCTCTCTTCCCCTCTTTCTAATTCCCTTTTGCATCTACTCTTCCTCCTCTTCTTCTAATCCCCCTTCTCCTCCCTTTCCTCCTATTCCTCCTCCTCCTCCTCCTCCCGTCCTGCCCCCTCTCCGATTTATTTTATATGTATCATTGGTCATTTACTTTTTATTTGTACACCAAAATGTAATACGAAATGTACTTGTAACACCTTTCTCCTTTTGGACATAGAGAGTACACAGGGTTTGACATTAACCTGATGTTAATGTTTATTTAATCAAACTCTGCTCTTAATTAAACCGGCTTTTGTGAAGATTCGAAAGAAAGCTTAAAAAAACCCAAACTTTTGTCAATATATATACATTTTTTTTTTGTCTAAGTTACAGTGTACATATACGATTTAAAAAAAAAGAATTGATAAGGAGAACTTGAGAAGAACATTACAAAAAAGAGTATTAGAAATTTGAATTAAAATCACGAGGTAATTTGTTTATTGAGATAGCAACTGTGTGACGCGTGTGGATAAAAAAAAAAATTAGTTGAAGAAAAATGTAATTTATATATATAATCTTTTTTTCCTTTTTCTGGTGTGGAAAGGAAATGCAACACCGTATGAGAAAAGAAAGAATTTTATGTTCTTTTTTGAGTTTTGTTCTTTGTTTTTTTAAAGGAGGGAGAGAATTTTTTTTTTTTTTATTTCTGATCTTTGAATGCTAAGAAGAAATGTTCTATTTTCTTTCAACGTCTCGGATTTTACTTTCGTTTCTATTTAAGGAAAAAAAAAAGAATAAGGTTTTATTTGCCTTTATTTTTTCTTTCATTTCTTGGGATCAAATACCTGTTGTGATCCCTCTCCCTCTCACCCCCCCTCTCAATTCCCGCTCGTATTTGTTCAGCGTAACAAATAATCCTTTTTTTTTTTTCTTTTTTGTTTCATTCTTCGCAAGAAATCGAATTTTTATTTCTCCCCCCCCATCCTCCTCCACTTTGTGCATTTTTTTTTTTTGCCTTCCTTTTTTTTTATATAAATATATATATAATATTGCATCTTCAGCCTGGGTTTCAGCTTCACCCCACCCCTCCTCCTCTCTCCCCCTTCCTCTCTCCTCAACCTCCCCCCCTCCACGCTTTTCCTTCACACCCCCACCCCCCCCACCCCCTCTGAAAGGCCAATCCATACACCTAATTATTTTGGGTGTGCTTATGTATTTATTGAATTAATTAATTAAAAAAAGAAGAAAAAAAAAAAGCGCCTGTATTTTACACACGCGTGTTTTTTTTTTTTTTTTTTTGTCATTATTATTATTATTATCATTATTTTTTGGGAGATTGTAATAATATTATTATTTTTCCGTTTGGATCCTTATTTTTTAATTTTATATATATGTATTTAAAAGAATATATAAAATTGTGATGTTGAGGATAACTTTTTTTTTTCTCTTTATATATATATATATATATATTTTTGCACGTGTCACGATGCCCTCATTTACATATTTGAACTTCGCGCGTCCTCAAGCTGTCAACAAAGCATATCTCGATAGTTTATATATTACAACA